GAGGTGAGCAGAACTAAGCGGCCTGCTAGCTGGGGATCTGGCTGAAGGTGCGTGGGGAAGACAGGCGGGGTGGGGGAAGTCTTCTGAAGGCTTTGCCGCCGCCTCCTCCTCCTCCTCCCCCGATCCTCTCACAGCATTGCTTATTCCTCTGGCGAAACCCTGGTCCGTGCTGCGAAGATATCCCATGCTTAAGAGAGAGATGATGTTTTTCACACTTTCAGTGTCTCGTGAAGCTTCACATTCTAATATTTGTAGCACTTCTTCAGCAAAAGGCGACAGGTCATAAGCACCTCGAACTGTCATTGACAACTGGCATCTATTGAGTATTGATTTTAAACATGGCCTCCTGGTGGATCTTTGTATGTCTGTTATCCCCTTTGTGGCTTCACCATACCTGCTAAAGTAGGGCTGCCCTTCCTGCCTAAAACCAAAGGGATCTCAGAGGAGTTAAGTCACCTTGCCTGGGTCTATGCAGGCAAAAAGAACCTAGCTGGATCTAATTTAAATTTTTCCCCGTGGGTGGCTCAGGCTCACTCACACACTTATCTGAAGTCTCCTCGGACTGGCTGTTCACTCATCCAGTGAATGGCTGTGCACTGGATAGTCTTTCTGTTTCCTTAGCCAGCCTTCTTCTATGTCTCTGTAACTGTGTGTTGGCTTCTCTACATCTTTCTTCATCTTTTGGACACCACACACACACACACACACACACACACACACACACACACACACACGGGGGCGGGGAGGGGGGGGAGCATAGAGAGACAGACCAGCCACTGGAAAGAGACAGAGACAGAGAGCATGAGAAAGCAAGCAACACTTTGCTCTCAAAGCTCAGTTCTAGGCCCTGCTTCATCCATCTAGACAACGTTCCCTCTACACAGCACCTCCCTTGTTAGTGGGGCTCACTCATTCAAATGAAAGTAGGTGAGCCTTTGGCAAGGTCTAAAGAATCTGCCCGTTCACTATGTGCTGTAATCCACCTGATGATGTTATAATCCACCTGCTTTGAGGCAGGTCTTCACCTGTTGCCTTTAACAACCATTTCACACTTAAGTCTTCCACATGGGTAGATCTTATCCTTGGAAGCAGATATCCTTCTTATGCTCGTTTCATTTACAGACCCTCATGTGGACACTTGAATGGTGTTTGGCATACTTATTGATTTTCCATTCAATGCCCTCCCCTTGGTGGGAAGTGGTCTGCCTAGTTACCCTCCTGGACATATTCTGTTCCTTGCTGGATTCAAAATGAAGTCCCAGGATGTGACTCCCACTGAGATTTGTGCCCTGTTCTCTCACTCTGAGGTTCTTTTCTGATCCAGGAATGATTTAGACCGTCATCTTCCATACTCTCTGTTAGTTCCATTCCCTGGGGGGCTCAATAAGCAACTGCTTTCAAAACACTACACTCATTCTGCATGCAACCTTCCAATCTTAAGCTTCTCCAATCGTCTAATCAATCTGGGCCTAAAGGTCAGTTCTTCCCACCTGTTCTACCTACAAGTTCAACAGAACTCCTAGGGCCTGTCTCTGCACTAAGGGTAAGGCCCACATTCTATCCACCTTAATTGTCCCTCTTGCTTTTTAACTCATTACAAAAACTTTAGGTTACAGGATATGTCGGTATAAGACCCTCCTGGCCAACACTGACAGTCTTGAAATGCAAACTTTCTATCAATGGACTACTGGGTGAGGAAAGTTGAATTGGGTATGAAAAGGGGAGACAGAAAACCCAGGAGTTCATTTGAGGGTGAAGAATTACTAGACAATAGGCAGAGTGTGCTCACTGCTCCAATAGTGGCATGACTGTTCTTGGGATAACCAACTACTTTCTGATCGGATTTGAGACCTGCTCCATAGTAAGGAATTCATGCCTGGTGCTGCAAACCTGGTCAACACCACATGACTGGGGAGGACATAGGCCCCAGTGGGGAGCCTGCCAATGCTGTTTTGCGAAATGAACTTGTTGCCAAACTGCCTTCTAAATATGTATGTCCGTGCATATACATTAGTGCTAGCCTCAACCTTAAGCAGAGAAATGTCTTTAGTAGTGCAAAGCAGTTAATGCACAAGACCAAGTCAGTCAACACTCTAGCACAGACAGAGGAAGGGCTTGTGAGGCAGCACCCCTGGCTGAGGAGCCCCTGGGGGACAGGGAGCCATCTTCTTCGTGAGAGAAGGAGGCTGCTGGTAGATTTTTCCATGCTCTGGTGGAATGGCCCCCAGTCGTGTGCCTATAGGCCACACTAATTGGACTCAGTAGTAGATTATAAAGAAAAGAAAGGACATGAAAGTGGGAGGGGGTGCTTTGAGAGGCTCTCAGGGGACTGGGGGAGGAGTTAGGGATGAATATCAGACACACTGTATAAAAGTGTGAAGTTGTCAAAGAATGAGTAACAAATATTCCTTAAAAAGAACTAAGAGTTACTAGGTAAAAAAGAGAATGAATCAACCCTCCTTGGACACACTCTCTTCCTGCAGTGACAGCCCATCTTGCCAAAGCAGGACAACTCCAGCCCACTCTAAATAGCAATGGATGCTCCTTTCCTATCCAGTATAATCCCACACAACACTCATTTGCTATCTTATGACTCAGCTTGGAAACTGGGCTGCTTATTCAGAACTGTTTCTGAGCTTAGAAGCCAAAACCAGGGATCATCTCTAGTGATATTTTTTTATCACTACCAGGAGTAAATCAACTGAATCAGCCTGTGGTTTAAAATTATAATAACAACCACAATCAAAACAGAAAAGGACCATTAATTTATTCACATAAGGAGAGCATATAAATGCCCTTCTCTTTACTTTCTAGACTAATACCCTTTGAGAATTCTGGAGAACTTCACTAACTATTCATTACCCTGATGTAACCTGTCTTAAGGGGTTGGGAGAAAGCAGTTGAAATCATCTGTGCTGGACCAGCCAGGAAAGGACAAGTGCAGTACCACACAAGAGTGTTTTTCTGCAGACCTCAACTCTGGAAGCTTCTCCAGTTTGCATATTAAGCTAGAGCTTGCTTGCTTGCTTGCTTTTCCCTTTCTCCCTTCCTTCCTTCGTCCATGTGTAATTAGCATATTTAAATTCCAGAGGAAGTGTTGACTGTGTGCTACCTGCGTGAAGACTCCTGGTGGTCACCTAAGCACAGGCACCTCCCCTAGTCGGGTCTGTCTTGCCCGTCCACTCTCGCTCCTCTGGCTCCTGGGTTCAGGTAGTCTTTTATTTTCACTGCATCTTGGATTCAAAGCCCCTTGCTTGTATAGCATGCAGGGTTTTTCTTGTGTGTCTCCCTTCACTGTGCACTTGAGGAAGTGACAGCCCCGTGACAATGCACACGGTTAAGCTGAGTTTTAGATTCAGCACAGAAAGGGGGCACACACAGAAAGATGAGAAAGTTAGCAGACGAGTTTTCTCAGTTCTCAAGACTCGGATCCTGGTGCCTTGGTTTTTCATCCTCACCCCACCCTCCACCTCTCTCTGAATAATAACTAGATAAAATGATAAGCACTGGTGCCTTGGAAGGCAGCCAGCCTCGTGGTATTCGGAAGATAATGTGATTTTAGAACTAGAGGGGACCTCAGACCTGATTTAGTCCAATGCTATCACATCAGGATTAGGACAGTGCCGCCCCGAGAGGTGTTGTAATGTGCTCAGTGTCAGCTGGGGAGCTTGCTCTAGAACCTGAGCCCCTTGCACCTGTGGCCTCTGGGTAGATGCAGGGGCCTGGGGGTCAACAACAGAACCTGAGCAGGAACCCGAGGGAGGCGATGCAAAAGGGAATGAGGTTTGCGGTGCTGGGGGGCGGGGTTGGGGAGCAAGGGAGCCAGGGACAGAGGAAGGTACAATTTCAAGCTGACCGGTCAAGCTTAAGACATCTGGGCGGTGAGAGGTACCAGAGGGGCTGGAGACAGGCCGCAATCAAGCACTGGTAGATTCGCCCGGCCTCAAGGCAACCGGAAGAAGCTGAGTCAAAGAGGCTGATTTGCAAACATCACGGGCTCTGCATATAGTAGCTCCAGCTGCAAAGCCAAGGACAGCGTTGAGATTTATGGGTGCGCGGCTAGGACTTTGGGGTCAGCATCCGTCACTTGAGCCAGGCCTGTGAATCACAGCCAAATCTAGATGAGTTGTATTATTGACCATGATAATGGGAGGATGAATGGTGGCCGTGATTGCCTATACTGCAATCAACCTTTAAGATGGCTAGGAATCCTGATCCGACCAGCCCTTGGCCCAGATAGCGATGTTCCAGAGAGGCAGTGATTGCTGTGAATAGAAGCAGCTTCGAAGACAAAGGCACAGTCGTGTGATGGAGGAGTCCACTTTGTCATGGGTCACAGCTCAGGTTAACACAGACCCTGGGTGGTGGGCAGCGAGGTAGGCAGAGAGCTGGACAATGAAGAGAAATGAATGGGCTGTTTTCATGTCTGGGGCAGTAGCGAAGCATTTGTGCTGGCGACACCAAAATAGCAAACCTCTAAGCAGTTTTTCTGCCAGGATACTAAGAAGATTTCGTCAGGAATCCTGAGAAAGTGACTTAACTTTGCTATGTGTCGGGCTAAATCTGCACAATGCAGAAACATCTGGATGAAAGTGAAATGTCTCTGTCAGTTATCCGGGTGTTCTGTCTACCTGACATCAAACAGCTGGATTCTTGTAAACATTTGGATAGCACACTGAATTTTTTTTTTTTTCATTTTTCATTCAGATCACAAAATCGTCCTCTCCAGCTTGGCAGGAGCGCAGAGGTCAGCTAATCTCTGATATTTGGCATATCCTCAAATGACCTATTTGTATTATCATGCAAATGAAACGCTAAGACAGGCCTATGTGTTGTGTCTAATTATACACAGTGTATCTTATTTGAACACATGTTTATTTTAACGTTTGATTCTCCTTGGTTGTTTCATTGAATTGTAAATGAATCACTTGCAGATAAACTAGATTATTATATGTATGAAAATACAACAAAATACTCTAATTAGGGCAGACTTGGTTTACCGTTGCAAGAGTGGAAGTGACCCCCGAGGCTGCTGGAGGAACCTGTTTCCCTCCGAGGGCTGGTGTGACATCAGCTTCATCTCCTCTGCACTTCCCTGCCGACGCCTGTCACTTGAAAAGCTCACTCCAGGCGTCTGATCCACGACGGAGACTAAGGCATATAGGAAGGGCACAGGACTGTGAAATTCATTAACTCCAGAGGTTTGTTTCAGCTGAACCATTCTCTTCTAGACGGCCATGGCTTCATCCCACCCAGCCCACTCACTCCACTTGCTGAGTGCCTTGAACAACCTCTGCCTCAACACAGCGTCACAGACAAGAGGCCCCAAGCAAGTCTCTCTCCACAGAGTCAGCGCCTGCCTTCGAGAGTGTGTGTTCAATTACCCTGAATGGGGCTTTTCATCTTTAACATGTCACACTTTGAACTATCGTCTCATTTATACCGGTAGGTAGCACAGAAAATGGGCACAGCTAAATTAAGGTATAGAAGCAAGGGGGAAATATTTTCTAAAACTGACAAATGTCTGTGTGCTGAGCTTAAAAACAAAATGATAGTCTGGGGAGGAGAACGGAATGAAAAGGTGTAGAGAGAGGAAGAAAGGGTGAAATGGGATGGCGAGTCAGTGAGGCAGGGAGATCAAGTCTGTTTTGGGTACCAGGAGAGGTAGGAAAGGAGCTTCTCATGTTTGCCATGATGAAAGCTTAGACTAGGTTGGAGGGGAGGTGATCGTCAGCCAACATGTCAGCCAGGCGGCAGCATCTGCCCGGTGCCCAGCGTATGTGGAAACGTTATTGCTGCTAATAGCTGTAAGGGCAGTAGGGAGGCTATGAAAGACCTTCCACAGTGAGCTTGAAGACGAGTAGAGACCACTGCAAACAACACCTCGGTGAGCTGACTAGGAAAGCAGAAGCATATTGGATAATGAGAACACCTGACACCCGCACAGGCATCAATACAGCCCTAAGCACGAAAGCTAACTTGTGCAATCCGGATAGCATAGGTTTAATATATATACATATACGAATGTCAGAGTTAACACTTCCTGAGTGCTCACCATGCAGCAGGCCTTGTATGAAGTACTTTATATACATTACATCTTATATATGGGAAATGTGGATGAGCCTAGAAAGTCTAAACATCAAGTAATACAGCAGTTCATTTTGGTATGGAATGAAATAAATGAACGGAGATGAAGTAGAGGCATTACCAACAGAATCCAGCAGTCTAGAATTTGTCATAATTTAGTTTGTGACTAGCGTCCCTTACAGGGTAGGACATGGTTCATTTTCCCAGACTCGAGACTGACTGACGGCGGGCAATGACTCTCTCTCAGTCTTAAGAGAAAATTAATTGTTGCCCGTCGTTGACTCTCAATACGTCTTTATTACCCATTGAGTTGGTAGTCAGTCCTTTGAAATCCTGCTTTATCTCATTGCCAGGTGGATAATGAGGACACTCACTGTAGCTCAGGCTACCCTTGAACTTCCTGTGTAGCCCCGGCTGGTCTTGATCTGGTGATGGCTTGCCTGCTCTCACATGCTTAGATTATGAGTCCAAGCTACCCTGCCCCAGTGAAAACTCCTGGGCTGTGGAATGTCTCGGTTGTTAAGCGGTTGTTTTTGCAAGCATGAGGACCAGAGTTCAGATCCCCCGGACCCACAGAAATGCCAGGTGTTTGTAGCCGTCTGGCTGCGATTCTATCCTCAAGAGGATCTCCCAAGCAAGCTGCCAGCAAGACTGCTCATACCCTTGAGTACTGAGTTTGCCTGAGGCACCCTCAATAAATAAGGTGGAAGAATGATAGAGGATGAGTCCCACCATCAACCTCAGGCCTCCACATGCATGCACACGCACTCCCACACATGCAAACGTACACACCACATAATACATAAAACAAAACAAAAAGCCCTCCTGTTTAACAGAGAGTTTGAAGGCTTGCAAATATCTTCAGAAGGAAGCTTCACAAAGACCAAGGCTCCGCTGACTTCAGAGAATGGCGAAGGCACCCAGTTGCTCTGGGCAGGTTTTTCCAACACCTCCCTTTAGTCTTATTCTAAGACAGAATTAGAGTCGGGAGGGCATGTCCCCACGGTTCCATTTCCCATGTGCTGTGGCAGCCAGCCTTACAGCTTCGGTCTCCCAGAGAGTGATCTCCAGGGAGTAGTCAAAGTTTGCAAATAGAGACTTGCAAACGGTATTCTGGACCCATTTTTCCCCCCAAAAAAGCTCTCTTCAAAGGCAGACTCACACTGGCTGCTCCCTTCCATCGTCTGCTGGACTAACAGCACAATCTCACAGTTGTTCCCGGCAGGAAGGAGGCCCTTGCTCTCCCACACAAGCCTGCTCTCTAGCCTCTGGCTGGGCACACAGTCAACCCCTGGGCTGCAAGCATCCTATCTGAATGGTAGCAGGTAACCCTTGTACACCACAACCTGCACATCAGCAGGGATGGTTAAGGCAAGCGATGGCGTCCTCTCACAGACGGGAAGAGGGGAGAGAAACAGAGAAATGAAACAATACTCTTGGGCACATGAGGGTTAGCACAGGAGGACGGCTTGAGGGGCTGGTGAGATGACTGGGCTTGCACAGTGCTTGCCGCTTGCCCCGCAGACAGCTGAGTTTGACCCTGCCGCCTATACGCACATGCGCACAAGCCAGGCATGGCTGCTGGCGCCTGTGCCCTTAACACTGGGGAGATGGGAGCAGGAGAGCCCCTGGGGCTTGCTGGCTAGCCAGTCTAGTTAATTGGAAGAGTTCTAGGTTCAGGGGTGGATCAAGGGAAGACGCCTGAAGTCAACCTCTGCCCTGCCCCTCCCCCCCACAGGCATACCTGCAAAAGAAGAGCAGCCTGATCATGCTTTAGGCAAACCGCACAGGGATGAAAGACGGTTCCTAGGGTCAGACACATCCTGTGCCCGCATGGCATTTCATTGACTGAGATGCCACTGCTACCAGGGATCTTTAGTGATGTGCCTCCAAACGCCCCCAGTTACGCCACAATAAGCCCTCAGTGACTGAGGTAGCCTGAGCAAGCGGCTTCACTGGGAAACAAAACATCCCTGTACTGTCAGCATTGGTTGGGGCCCTAGGGGTCATCTAGCCAGGGATACTTGAAAGTGTGGTCCAAGGCGCAGTGGATCTACTACCGTTTCAGTGTGGGAGGAACTAAATACAGACTCTGAGAATAGGCATTTGGAAACATTCAAATAGAAATGAGATATGGCGGCGGCGGGCCGGGGGCGGGAGAGGCAGCCCAGCTGTTAAAGGCACACACTGCTCTTTCAGAGAACTAAAGTTTAGTCCCTAGCACCCACATCAGGCAGTTCACAAACACCTGCAACTCCAGGGGATCTGATGCCTCTGGCGTCCTTGGGTGCCTGCACTCATGCATGCATGCCTGCAATTTAAAATAAAATCAATCTTTTTCTTTAAAAAAAAAAAAAAAAAGGGAAATATGGCATTGCACATTGCCTCTACATCCAATTTTATGTCTAGTTGATCTAATAAGAAAAAAAAATTGAACTCAAATTTTGTAAGTCTGTTGGAGCTTTTCCCCTTCATTTTTGTAGTAATTTATTTTTATGTTTTAGAAAGTATCAATCAGTATATGAAAAACTCGAAGTGATAAAATATTTCAAAGCTGGTGCTTCCCAGCAGACAGATTGAGGAACATTGATCTAGTCCCTTGCTTTTCAAACAAGAATCCTTGATCATTAGTGGATAGCAAAGCATCGGTGAATTGCAAAAATTAGGTCAGGCAAGATGGCCCAGTGGGTAAAGCTGCCTGTTAAGCAAACTGACCCGAGTTCAATCCCTAGAACACATGCAGGAAGAACCAATTGCCAGATGTTGTCTTCTGACCTCCACACACCAGCTTTGGCACTCACAGGAACGCCTACCCCCCTCCCCACCATGATAAATATTTTTAAATTTACAATGACTTATGAAATTAATTTTAGTAGATACAGAATTTGGGCAGTAAAAGCTGGGCTTGGTGGAGCCCACCTTTAATCCCAACACTCAAGAGGCAGAGGCAGGTGGGTTGCAGTGAGTTCCAGGACAGCGAGGGCTACACAGAGAAACCCTGTCTAGAAAACAAATAAACAAATGAAGCATTAACAAAAGGACAAAATAGAAAGTATCACATGTAGTAAAGTGAGTCCTTCATTTGGAACAGTGTATGTAACATCTGCGTGGGCATACTTTGTATATCTTGGTATGTGTTGCAGGAAGGGGGCCTGAGCGCCTCCTGTTTCATCTGTCAAGTACAGCTCTGCTTTCCTAGCCAGTGCAGGTAGAAATGTGTGCATCTTTGGGAAACTGTACTCTGTCCGGGGTGTGCTTTATCCACGGTATCTGATTTAGCTTCCACACGAGCTATTTTACAACTCCGTAAATTGCAGATTGTGGGGCGTTTACCCACCACCCCCACAGCTTCCCAGAGTTTTCTTGAGTGCGATCAGCAGGAAATATTAGATAGAAGGATTTATAGCGGAGAATCTTGCGGAGATAAACAGATAGAAAATAAAGGATAGCCTCGAGAGGGCCTGGAACCTATTTCAACGGGCCCCAACTGTCTCTGGTCCAGGGTTTTTATAGAGACGCCAAGGGGTGGAGCAAAAGACCTCCTCCCCCAGCACAGCCAAGTGCAGACCATCTCAGACACCTGCACTCAGGCCCGTGGTCCTGATCATCCTCTATTCGGACCTGCTGGGTAAAGCCACGAGGAACCCCAGAACGGGCTCCCACAGCAGATCACTGATAACTTTGCAGAATAATTCTTGTCTGCAGACATGCAGATCCTGCCCCTTGTGGCACAGTGGCCATCGGCTGCCCCCTGTGGAAGACACCGGTTTTGCCCTTTTGTGTACATTCACTTCAGTATTTCTGACGGTCAATGAGTCTGTTCTTTGGCTCTTCCTTGAATCAGTTATAGTATCTGCCTAGTTCCCTCATTGACTGAGTTAAATCAATTTTCAGACATGTTCATTTAAATCTGTATGAGTTGAGTTTTTTTTTTTTAATTCCCTTTTAACACAGATGGTGGTGGAGTGTTCCAGCATTAGGTGGTAGTGTCTGTTCAGACTTAGGTCAAGTGTAATGAAACAGGGCCCTCCACATAAAGGCAAGCTTAGGTGTTAGCAAGCCTGAAGGGCTTCTCTCTGGGTCAACTTTCTGCTGCTGCTTGTTAAGGAATCAAAAGGAGGGAAGGATGTCATTGGATAATGATTTGAATTCCTGTTCCATGACAGATCTTTGCTTCTATGACACCGGCGAGTACATATCTCCCTTTTACTACAGTTCAGAAAAATCTGAAGATAGAAACATCAACCACATAAATTAAAAGTACACATTCTCAGCCACAGCAAGAAAGAGTACTGACCTGAGGATCAGAACCTTAAGTGTGGACCCAGCTCGATCCCTAATTGTCAGGACCACCTTCACCAAGTCACTTGGTATCTCTGGGCTCAGATTCTTTTCCTTTACCTTTACCTCAAGTCAAGAGCCTTCTTTCTCTCTCTCTTTTAAAAGAAAGCATGCACACAGTCCCAATTTGCAAAGGAAGTCAGCCACTCCGGTCTCGTGAGGCATCTGCTTGGTTTCCACCCTCCCCACTAAGGTGGCCTCCAATTATAAGGACCCCTCGGAATTCTGACGATTCCATGTGCCACAGCTTGAGAGGCACAGAACCCTCAGCACTACGGCCTCCTCCTGACGTTATGATGTTACAGTCAGGCCTCCTCTTGATGTTATGATGTGACAGTCAATTATTTTGTTTCTGGGTTAAGCGTCTTTAAAGAGAAAAGTACTTTCCAGTTACACTGAGGCAGGGGGATTTCATGCTCAAGGTAAACCTGGGCTATACAATAAGATCCTGGCTCGTAAATTCAACGCCCCCCCCCAAAAAAAAGCAAGCAAGACATCCTTTCCCCTCTCCCAGCTGGTCCATCCTTTCTCCCTGGCCTCTCTCCACCCTGCAGGCTATCTCTATTCATCTCTGATCTTCAGAGTCCTTGTCTACCCTGGGTTCCCTCAATTTCTGTGATTCACAGGATAGCTTCAGTGCAAATATATCCACCGTATTCTAATAATCTAATTATCCGTTTTCTAACAAGGCTGAATATCCTGAGACAGAGGGTTTCATCCCGTCACGGCCTTTGCTCTCTGGGTCTAACGCAGCTCTGCTGGTCCTTTCTGAGCTCAGGACACTCTGCGTGGATTCTCTCCTCCATCCTTCCCCGCTCTGCCCTACTCCGACCTCTGGAACTTCGGGCTCACACCACACAGTCACTCGCCAGACAGTGCTACCCTGGGTACCTCACAGGCTCTTCAACATCAACAGGTCGGAAACCCAAGCCAGTCATCCTCACTCCTTCCTTGCGACGTCTCAATTTATCTGCTGCCAAGACAGAAATCCCTGATGCTTCTCTTGGCCCTATTTCCACTTCAGCCAGTCATCGCATCCTTTTAATTCTGCTTCTGACAATCCCTGACTCCGTCTACGGTTTTCCATTTCTGTAACTGTTGCTCAACTTCAGATCACATGGATGACATCATTCCGACAGCGCCCCTGGCATGCCAAGTGCTGTGAAAACACAGCAAAGCCCTCTGCCCACTGGCTCCTCTGGCGCTCACACCTGCTCTGGTTCTGACCCTAGCAATTCTGTTAGTTACCCCGTTCACGGTTAGAGGAGCTGAAGTTTAGAGAGAGCTTGCCCAGGCTGGCCAGCCTCGGAGCTGACATTTAGCCTGTCTCTCTCTACTGACAATATGGTAGCTCTTAACGTGGCATCACCCTGGGGACATTAACCAGGACTGCGTCCTTCCATCAGCCTTTACTTTTGACCCCTTTCTGCATATGACACCCGGGATTTTTTTTTTTTTTAATTAAAGTCTTATTGTGTAATGTCCACTTAAAACTCTTCATTATGTTTCCTTTGCTTGGTGATCTAGTGCAAGCTTGCGACGGGGTCCCTCAGCCTTCCGTAACCTTCACAGCATTAAGCCTCTCTTTTCTTGCCACAGCCACCCTTAGCTTCATTATGCAATTTGAGGGCGGCACCTTCGTAGCATCCATCTAGACTTCGATTTGTCCTTTTCCCTCTGCCCAGGGGGACCCTTTCCCTCACCTCTTCCCCTAGCCAGTGCCTAGTCACACTTCAGTTCTCACCTCCAAGGAGCGAGCACACAGTGAACGGCTCCCATCCCAGAGCACAGTGTGCCTTCCTGCAGTCTGAGCCACTCTTGCTGGACACTGTAAATCCCTGTGGGCTTGTCTCTCTCTATTCCAGAAAAGCCTCAGGGAGGAGGAGGCTGCCTGACTGATTCAGCAGTGCCTTGGGGATACTCAGCAGTGATTTATTAGGGGGACACTCGCAGACAGAGTGAGTAGAAGTAAGGGATACAGGAATGGGCAAGGGTCCAGCCCCATCCTCATCCCAGGAGGGGCTCTCAAGCTCAAATCATCCTAAATGTGACCTAGTTGAAGTCAGAGGAATGAGATTTTGTTTCCTCCAGTTCCAACCATCGGTCACTGGCCTGGCTGCAGGGTGACCTGACAGAGTGTCTGTGGCGAGAGAGGGAACACAAGTGTCACTTCAGTGGGGACTCAAGAGTTCTTATCTTCAGCAAGCTTCTATGAAAGGGAGCTGTTGTAGAATATTGTTTTAAGCTGTTACTTTTGTTTATGCTGCATTTGTTTAACTCTGTGAAATTGTGTTACTGTTCCTGTCTAAAACACCTGATGGTTTAATAAAGAACTGAACAGCCAATAGCAAGGCAGGAAAAAGGATAGGCGGGGCTGGCAGGCAGAGAGAATGTGTGTGTGTGTGTGTGTGTGTGTGTGTGTGTGTGTGTGTGTGTGTGTGTAAATTTGGGAGATCAAGGAAAGAAGGAGCCAGAGAAGGAAGAGGACTCTAGGGACCAGCCACCCAACTACACAGGTAAGCCACAGAGTAA